CTCTGATGCCAACTGTTGGCGCCGCCTCCTCGCAACGCCGCTCTTCTTCCTCGGTGTTGCCTCTCACAACTCTTTCAGATCAAGGTTCCTCTCTCAAGAACGCACACACAATGGAAGAAAGCCACACACACACGCACTTCACCAGGATACAACTAGCTTTGCCTTTGCTCCTGGTGAGAACACATGTACTACATTTTACCACAGCCCTCTCGGCCACTTTTTCTCATTCATCTGATCACCTTAAATACCAGTACAGAAAGACCGCCACACGCACTGGCCAGCCGCCACACTCCTGCTAAACCCCAATAATCCAACTAACTTGCATGCATCCATGCATGCACGATCCGCTCAGCCCGCCCACGCGGCACCGCGCGCTCCTGCATGCACGACGCTGCTACCTCCAAGGGTCCCTACTGCATGCACTAACAAACTGGAGTCTAACTCAAACTACGTACACGTACAGACTAGGCACGGCCACGAACCGGTGCCCAGTTCCACCAGCACGCACACTCGCCACGGCGCTATGTCCCGCACCTCCCACGCGCATCCGACGAGCCTGACCGCACCAGTGCATCTTGCACGTCTCGCGCGCACCCGACGCGCCCGACAAGTCCGACGGCACCAGACTCCGTGGCTTATTCCAACACATCCCCCTAGTACGTGCAATTAATATGTGTTCCTAGCACGCACGTAGACACACTCGTCAATAATGCACTGTGTTCGACGTGTCCATCGACACACGCGTATAAAGAATGGAAACGTGTGCGCTATTGTGGACAATCACACATGTTACTCGTCAGCGAACTGTGTGTGCTCTTGGTTTCCATCGCACACATTTTTCCTTGGTAACCAGTATTTTCACAATAATGACCCATTGACAACTGTTTTTCCCCATGATTTATTTTCTACTCCCTCCGTCCCAAAATACTTGTCGAAGAAATGGATAAAAATAGATATATCTACAACTAAAATACATCTAGATACATCCATTTGTCCGACAAGTATTTCCGGACGGAGGGAGTACAATTTATAACTCTTTAGAGTTTGAATTAGAAATTTCCATATTTTGCATTGTAAAGTTTGGCATTCATATATTTGATATCCATCATGTATACCCTATTTACGATGGTTCAACAACCAATGCATAAATCAAATCACAGTACAATATGTTCAAGAATTACAGAAGCAACCGATTAACAATGATGAACCACATAGTATCAAAAGTGGTGAAGAGAGAGGCAAAAACATTTGGGGTTGTTGGCGAAGGTGAAGAAGTGGAATGCTCATATTGTGTCCACATCCATGTCGAATGCACACACAACTTTAGTCCAACCCCTTGTTATGATCGCCCGCCCATCCTTCACCGCCTTCAGGTAGACTTCTAGTTCATCCTTTGATACTTTAATTTTCATTGCCTCCACATCTCTCATGTAGTTTGCTAGGCAACCTTTAGTAAACTTCGGAAACCAATGAAAATGAAAAACATTCAGATATTTTGGTCTAATAACTCATTGTCGAACGGAAAAGAAGGCAACATTGTTCTTACCATCAGAAAGTTCATTGTCGTCATGAATAAAGCATAAACAAAGAGTTTACTTCTCATCACACATCTCTTTCTCCTAACAATCTTTCTTAGTTTCCTTGATTGATGTTGCTTCATTAAGATTTCATTGGCTCATATGCAAAAAGGGTCAAATCGTGGATTTGTACCACTGATATATGTACCTACAACCAACAAGTAAATGTTAGAAGTTAGACTGCAATTACACACTGATGCAACTAGCCTCAATGGTAAACAACAACACCGCCCATTAACCATGCATAATTACATGGAAATACATGCTAACTACGATAGTGTGAACATCAACCAAATTGAATTGGTAGTAAAGAAAAGGCATGTTTACTAGAACAGCCTTAACAACAACTAAACATAGTCGTTTTAATAGGTATTGGTGAAATTGAATTGGGTAGTTCATATTTAAACACACGGCATATGTTAATTACAACAGGCTTATAACAACAACCAGATATAGCCATTGAAACTCGTATTAGTGGAATTGAATTGAACACTACATAGTTGAACATCGCACTGCATAGTTGAACATCACATTATGCATAAACAAGGCATATATATGTTAACTACATACAACCAAATATAGCCATTGAAATTGGTACTGATGAAATTGAACTGGACAGTTCATACTTAAACATCACATTGTGCATAACTGAATTAAACACGAATGCTACTAAACCAGAATGGCCAAGTTGTATAGAAAAAGTAGGGAAACCAGCTAAAACATGCTACTCCTAGCCATCAGAAATGATCATGGCTCTTTCTCCCCTTCCAAGAGCCACAGGTAAACACATCATGGGTTCTCTACCTCTTGTCACAAATGGGCTCCTTCGCCTTGGAAGAGCACTCATAGTCAGTGCCCTCCTCGTCATCGTGGATGAGATCTAACTTGGCGGCTGAGGATCCCAACCCGCCGGTGCAGAATGCGTCGTTCATGAATGCCAAAAGTGGCTTAATGGCATGGAAGGATGGAAAATCCTAGAGGACGCGGTGGAGGAGATCAGCGGCGGCCCTCGAGGACATTGGTGGCGGTAAAGCCTGATGCATTACCAGTTGGGCACTTCATCTGGACCAAAGCCCGCCCCAAGCCGTCATTTTCGATGAGCTCGATGTTGTAGTTGTAACAAAATACAAAAAAAGATATGGTAACTGGCTGATATGTAGCATGCGCAGTGGCCTCGGCGGCGAGGTGTTCCTCGGGGATCAGAAGGCCGGCAAGCTCGGAGGCCACCTCGTCCTCGTCCGCCGCTAAGGCCACGATAAACCTATTTTTGGCCATCTGCTTGTCGAGCTCCCTGTGATATGTGGTTGGGCTTATGCGACGATGCTTTGGCATAGTGGGTGAGGATTTGAAAGCAAGAGGGTGTTTCGTAGGTGCCATCTAAGCAAATCAGGCCGCGGCTGGGATGGTGATCAGTGGGTTACCTGACTAGACCAGCGAGGCACGGGCAGACCACGGTAGATGACGAAGTTGGATGCGGCGGCATGGATTGAACAGGGGAAGGGGGGAGGTGGCGATACTGAAATGTGGTGTGGTGGTGGGGGGAAGGGATAAAATACGGAAATTGCGCGGCTGCTGAAAATTTCGATGGGAAACTAAAAGCTGACGCGAAAGAAACACACATCGCACATAATGAAAATATAATACTCGTGTGCGGTAAAAGAGAAAACCCGTGGATACCATCTCAAAAAATATTATATCACTTATGAGAGGGGGCAAAAATGCATGTGCGATACTTGGTGACATCACACACGGCTCCAGTTTTATAGAAGTTTGTAGGGATCACTATCCTACACGGTTTGTCAAAGGAAACCGTGTGTGTTGTGATCTAAAATTTCTGAAAACCCAGACGCTAAACAACACTCAAAGCCATGTAAAGATGTCGTTATGGACATTGTTTTTAATTATAGCTAGCAACTTAAATTACTAGATAATAATTGCTCTAAAATACTACTAGATACTAACTAATATAATTAAACACACGCGTGACACCCATACATGCAGGTGGAGGTAGCTACTTCAATCATGCTAGGGAGACATCGTCGTTCTCCTTCTCGGCCTTGGTGGCGGTAGCCCATGATATTTGGATCTCCGCCCAACTCTCGTTCACGGTGCAAGTGGCCTCGTGTTTCTTGCGGCAGGCGGCCTCTCTTTTCTTGCACTCGGCCTCCCTTTTCCTCTCCTTCTTTGCGGCCTTGGCCTCCTCCTCCTTCACCCCTTCGTCCTTATCAGCGTCAAAGTCCGCCCACGTAAGGATACGGGTGCGGGCGCGGGCGATATAGTCAACGCAACAGGTTGTCATCACTTCCTTACCAGTGAGTGTGCGGCGAGATGGCATGACCGGCGCATTGTTGATATGATGGAGAGGGCGGGATACAAAATATACATGCCAAGTCCTACCGAGAAAATACATTCTACCATGCATGGTATATACCGTGCATGTATCAGCCACTGGTTTTCTTTGAGATTCGGATCCCTGCATGCATCTGGTCGCTGTGTTTGCTTAGTTAACCTGAATTGATGACCACTTGTTCTACTTAATTTATGTCATATCAATGAGTCACTATTTCTCCTGAGTCCTGACAACTTTTCCCCGTAGTTATACCTGCATATCTCTCCTCTCACTCACAAAAGTAGAGACGAGTAGTACTACGCTCACTCAGGTTTCTTTTTCATATGATTCTAAAATTTAAATTTATTTTATCTTTTGAACTGTAAGTTTGATTTATGATACATTTGCATATTTATGTTCCTTGTGAAGAGAACATTGAAATAAGATCACTCTTGAATATATTTTTACAAATTATAAAATTCAAATATGGAACGTGGAGAGGCCTTACGAAACTGTAAAAACTACGTACTGTATGTACCAAGTGTCATCGAGTTTTCTATAGGTATTGTTTAAAATATCTCGTCGGTATAAACACATATGTTCAAATAGTTATAACACAAAATTTTATTTCAGAAGATATCAATCATGTAAATCGTTAAATAGAATGGAAGAATATCTAGGATAGAGTTGCAACGAGGGGAAGGCATTCAAACGGAAGGACACTTTAAAAAAAAGCTGACACACAAACTGACCATGTGACAGAAGGGGGTGGAGAAAAGTAAGACGTACAGCAGGTTAGTAATGATCCTGAAATAATTAAGCGGCAGATTGATGCATGGTATATACCGTGCATGGTAGAAAATGCACTCTCAAGTCCTACCTCCTTCAGTCCTCGCGCCACTATAAGCATCATCTCCAAGTCGCTCCTCTCCGCACAGAGCCGTACGATGCCCAATTTGTCAGCAAGGAGATGATGAAATGACCATCCGAATTCAGGAACCCGTAAATTGCCAGTTGGGTTAGTGCCCCTAATCTTTATTATTCCACTGGAAATGGATGATTACACCATAACAGGTAACACTAACAGTACATGTCTAGGATGAAACTGCCGCCTGCACCTGTGGCACCTTCGCCAGAGACAGCTTCCCCAGGAAGTTCGTGGAAAGGCTTCCCAAGAACAGATGCCCATCGAACTCCGACACGGAAGTGATGAAGTGGATCACCTTCCCTTGGGAGTCGTCGAGCACACGGATGATCTCACCGTCCTCCGACACCTGAGCCACCATCGCTCCCTTTGCCGTCGCCTTGATGGGTTCGTGAAGCGCCGGGATCGACGCGACGACCCTCTTGGTCAAGGTCCAGCGGGTGATCAGGTCCATCCATGGCGACCTTAGCTGCATTTTGAGCACCAAAAACCATGAGATGATGCTGTTTCACAGCGATATATCCTACTAGCTGGTGAGGCACGGGCCGGCTTGATGGCCGGAAGTGTGACCTGGAGAAGGGCGATCCAGAAGGAGCCGTCTGGTGCTAGATGGATGCTATCCGGAGACCCCGGAAGGTTGTCGACGAAGGTCTCCTTCTGGCCAGCCTTGTCGCCTTTCAGCCACAGCTTGGAGCATCTGAACCTGCACGTCGCAAAATCTCATGGTCAGTAGAGAGATCAACGGCGAGCCGGCGGATGTGCGGTGGAGCTTGGTGAGGTACGTACCCCCAGGACTCGCAGACGACGAGGAAGGCCTCGTCCCGCGACAGGGCGACGCCGTTGGCGAAGGCAAGATTGTCGAGCGCGACGGACGCCTTGCCGGTGCCGGGGTCGTACTTGAGGAGCCGGCCGGTGGGGCGGGCCTCGAGGTAGTCGAGGAACCACTCGCCGAAGCCGAACCTGGCGCTCCCGTCGCTGAAGTAGACCGCGCCGTCGGACGCCTCTATCACGGCGTCGGCAAACCTGATCGTGGACCCTTCGACCGTGGATGCAAGAATGGTCACGCGACCCTCCTCAGCTTTAAGTAATCCCTGCCGAAAATACACCAACAGAGTTCACATTCAGACAACACACGTACGCACACGCCAGGCCAGAAACAGCTAAAAAAATGCGGCGCATGGAACAGCCGTCCGGCCTTGGAGCATAGCGCGACGGGAGCGGGGCAGCATGGCGTGCCTTGTGAGCGTCGCAGACGAGCATGCTGCCGTCGGCGGAGGGCGCGATCCCGAGCAGGTCCGTGCCCCCGACGAACCGCCACTGCTCCCACGACCCGTTGGGCTGCATCCTCTGCAGCCACCCGTCCCTCGTCGCCGTGTACAGCGTCCCGCCCGCCGCCGCGTCGATGTAGACGTCCTCCGGCCCGCTCAGCCGCCCTTCCCCGAGCTTCTCCAGCCCCTGGATACCAAACCATCACCCCCTCAGACCTCAGTACGCGGCGTGACATGGTAAGAACCGATCGACTAGTAGAGAGTACACGAACGAAAGGATGGAAGGGCGGCGCTGAAAAGTAACTGACCTGGAGGAGGTTATTGGGAGGGAGCCGCGCGGGCGACGGCGGCGACGGGAGCGGCTGGATGGGGCAGTGGAACGCGACGTGGACCGCCAGCGACAGGACCACGGCCACCGCCGCCGTGCCGAAGAAACCGCCCGGCGCCATGAGGGGTCGACGATGAACCCAACGTCGATCGGAGACGATGGAGCGACTGTACAGAGATGCAAGGGACCGCGAAGGGGTGGCGAGTGACACACTGACACTAGCTGGAGCACGGTGCTTGGGTTCAAGTAAGCTTGTCGTGTGCCGATCGAGCTCCGGGTTTATACCTATATTCGCCTTCGGGACGTACGTGAGGTGACCGGATCAGTTTCAGCTGGTGTCGCAGGCGACGAAGGCGTGACCCGAGCGGCGCCGCGTCTGGCTGGGATCCATCACGTCACCGGCTCGCTCGGGACCACAGAGACAGCACCGAAGCACCGATCGAACGGTGAGCTAGGCGCGTACTCTGCTGCCTAGCTCGCTCATCTGGCCTGTTACTATCTGCCGTAGCGATGGCGTGCGTGGCCCTGGACCTGTCGCGACTAAAACGTGAACGGCGAAGTTCTATCTGAAACGAGAAAAGGGTACAGCAGATCGACTGAGGAGTTGTCTCCTCTTTGTGATCTCTATTCGTGGCATCACTGTCGACCAATTTATGTGGTATTGCTCAATTGCAGTTGTTCAGTGGATTTGTAGGCTTTGGTAACATCGACTGTATTTACTCTGCTCGTCTGTCTCCGAATGCTGTGACCTTTGTTCCGAGAACTTACTGAGAAAACTACACCATTTTCCTATGCCTTTTTAGGGCTCAAACCTCCCGCATGCATCCTGACAATGCTGTCCAGATCCAACAAGGGTCGCCACATTCAAACGCCTCCACTAAACACACGTGGAAACCAAGAAACTTACTCCAACCACACGTCCGTTCACGAACGGGCAGGCATTAAACGCAACTCTAGGCAGGCTTCTTCTGTCCGTCATCTATTTAAACGAGGCCAGATGTCGTGCAAGAAGTGCACCACTCCGCCGCTCCCCATCTCCTCCTTCATCATTTTCTCCACTCTTTCGATGGCATCCGACGAGCCAAAAGAGCAGTTCTCCGGCATAAAAGCCGGATGGGTGGCCCGCCAAGCCCACCGGATACGAGCGAGGCAGCTCGTTGCTCCACCTCCCTCGCTTAGCCCGACGGAGACAGTTGTCGCCCCAAGCCGGCGCGTGATTCAGCAACTCGCCGCTTGAAACCAGCTTGCGGAGGAGTGGCGAGTTGCTCCATCCCGGTACGGCGCCACATGCATCGCCGCCTCCAGTGCCTGCGACCGCGCCATGCACACGGAGAAAGAAGGAGGCTGCTGTCGGTGTCAAAACCGGCGAATCTCGGGTAGGGGGTCCCGAACTGTAGGTCTGAGGCTAATGGTAACAGGAGGCGGGGGACACAATGTTTACCCAGTTCCGGGTCCTCTCGATGGAGGTAATACCCTATTTCCTGCTTAATTGATCTTGATGATATGAGTATTACAAGAGTTGATCTAGCACGAGATCGTAGAGGCTAAACCCTAGAAGCTAGCCTATGGTTATGATTGTTGTTGTCCTGCGGACTAAACCTTCCGGTTTATATAGACATCGGAGGGGGCTAGGGTTACATAGAGTCGGTTACAGAGAAAGGAAACTTCACATCTTAACCGCCAAGCTTGCCTTCCACGCAAAGGAGAGTCCCATCCGGACACGAGACGAAGTCTTCTATCTTGTATCTTCATAGCCCAACAGTCCGGCATACGCATATAGTCCGGCTGTCCGAGGACCCCTTAATCCTGGACTCCCTCAGTAGCCCCTGAACCAGGCTTCAATGATGCTGAGTCCGGCGCGCTGATTGTCTTCAGCATTGCAAGGCGGGTTCCTTTTTCGAATTTTTCAAAATACCTATTGTAAAAAGTAGTGTCCGGTTCCCCTTTTAATGTTACGCTCATCGGCTTCTGCACCTTAACAGTCTCAGCCTCCACGTGTTGAGTGAATGCGAGAAGTCGGGGCATTTTATATTTGCCACCCTAGCCATGTAAATAAATTGTCTATTAAAGAGATGGGGATCTTCAGATTCAATCCACACCATCTTCCCCAAGCGAGGAATCATCCGAGCGTGCCCGAAAAAACCACTCCAACATGGCCGGCGCTCGCAGCTCTTCCTCCCGCTCTCGCAACGCCAAGCCGGGCGATTGGAAGAAGTGTACCGTATCCCACGGCCGATTAGTGAAGTTCCAGACCCAAGGGTACCTACCTCCTGCATATCTAGTCCCCGTTCGAGCCGGATTGGCTTCCTTCGAGGGCGGGGAGCAGGCGGAGAACTTTCCCAGCCCATCCAGGGGAAAGCGAGTATGCCTCGTTTCTTACTTGCTGAGGGGCGTCGGATTTCCAATCCATCCGTTCCTCCGCGGGCTTCTGCAGTTCTACGGCCTCCAACTGCACAACTTCACACCTGCCTCCATCCTGCATATCGCAGGCTACGTCGCTCTTTGTGAGCTATTTTTGGGATGCGAAGCCTATTTCGAGTTATGGAAGAGGCAATTTTGCCTCGTCCCCCGTAACCAAGGGGGATCAATATTCCAAGTGGGCGGGGCCGAGATATGGCGCATCGTCAGGACCGGATACTTATCCGGCAAACCGAAGAAGGCACCCGAAGAGTGGCCCTCCAAGTGGTTTTACTTTGAGGACGTCTCCCTTCCCGACCCAATCCGAATGGGTCTTTCTGAGTTTACAAACGCTCCGCTGAAAAAACGCCTTAACTGGCGTCCCCGGAGCCCCAGAGGAAGACAGCAGGGAGGTCCTTCAATTGATGAGCAAGATAAGAATACTCGCTCAGTCCGGATTATCAATAGTCGAGGTTATGGCGATATCCATAATGCGGGGGGTTCAGCCACTCCAATACCGAGGGCATCCCATGTGGCACTTAAATGGAGAAGACGATGCCACCCACTGTGGCCAAAAAGGTCTGGACTCTACCACCGCTCTGGTGGAAATACTGTCCGATTTATACAAGGGGGAAAGAGAGGAGTTTGCCCGTATTAAGCCACGGGATGGATTTTCCATGTACAACCCTCCCAGCTGGGTGAGCTGCCATCCATTGCTCTACTCTATTCATTCCCTGAGCCTTTGTTTTAAAAAATATTTACTCCGTCTACTTATAACAGGAATGGCGAAAAATACCCAGGGAGTTCCATAGCCCGGCACCACAGCCAGAAGACCGTAACCGGGCCCTCGACCCCGGATTCGAAGAGGATCCGGATATATTTGTGGAGCTCGTGGAAGGGGTGTTTCACCAGGCAAGCTGTGACAGCATAGAGGTTGCCATCATTGCTGACTATCCCGGCCTCCTCCCTGTATCGCACGTAAGTAAACAAGAGACTTATCTTCCAGGAGTACCCGGCTTCACCCAGTCTGAGGTACACGTCCGGAGTACCCGACAGTAACAATCGCAGAGGTGCTCCCTTTATGCCCTAGCCGAACTAACGGGAATGTAGGGCATAAGCACAGGAGCCAGGCAACCTAGCTTGGCCAAAACTTAAGTCATATCGATGCATATAATGGCGAAGAAAAGGTGCATATGAAAAAAGGACGCATATGCGGTGGGCTTGATGCCCGGAGGATAATTATATTAAGCTTCTGTATAAGAAGCCCCCAGGTATGATGAGCGCACATACTTGAAAATTAGTGCATTACAAGTATGTAGTCTAGCCACAATAAAGCTTTAGAGCTTTTCAAAAAGGAAAGGTGAGAAGAGGGCTAAGAAGTAAATAAAAAAAGCAACAGAGGGAAGGAGATAAACAGGGAGTTCGGTGGTAGGCGTAGAATCTTTGGAGTCTGGCTGCGTTCCATGGGTTCGACTCAAGGTGATTATCGGATGCATCCCACAGTCGGTACGCTCCTCCGGTGAGAACTTTGTCAATAATGAAGGGACCCTCCCACTTGGGCTTGAGTTTGTCCTTTTTCTTCTCCGGTAGACGTAGAACGAGTTCACCAATATTATAGGTCTTGGCCCGTACTTCTCTGCTTTGATACCTGTGAGCCTATTGTTGATAGAATGCGGAACGGGCTTTTGCGATGTCGCGCTCCTCTCCCAGGGCATCTAAACTGTCCTGCCGATCGAGCTCGGCCTCTCTCTCTTCGTACATGCGCACTCGAGGTGAGTCATGAATAATATCGCAGGGCAGCACAGCCTCTGCGCCGTAAACCATGAAGAAGGGTGTGTATCCGGTTGTGCGATTTGGCGTGGCCCGCAGCCCCCAGAGTATGGAGTCAAGCTCCTTAACCCAGTGCATGTCTGATTCTTTTAAGGATCACACTAGTATAGGTTTAATGCCGCTCATAATAAGACCATTGGCTCGTTTGACTTGACCATTTGTTTCAGGGTGATAGACGAAGGCGTAATCGAGCTTAATGCCCATCTTGCCGCACCAAGTTTTCACCTCATCGGCCGTGAAATTGGAGCCGTTGTCGGTGATGATGCTGTGGGGGAGATCGTAACGGTGTACTACCCTCGATATGAAGTCTATCACGGGTCCAGATTCGGCCGTTTTAACTGGTTTGGCTTCTATCCATTTGGTGAATTTGTCCACCATGACCAACAAGTATCTTTTCATATGGCTTCCTCCTTTAAGGGGTCCAACCATATCAAGACCCCGGACCGCGAAAGGCCAGGTTATGGGGATTGTTTGTAGGGCGGTGGGCGGCATATGGCTTTGGTTGGCGAAAAGCTGGCATCCGACGTGATGTTGGACAAGGTCTTGTGCGTCTGCTCGGGCCGTCGGCCAGTAAAAACCCATACGGAAGGCCTTGCTTACGAGGGCCCGAGCTGCGGCGTGGTGACCGCCGAGGCCGGCATGAATTTCAGCCAAGAGCTGCCGCCCTTCCTCTTCGGAGATACATCGTTGAAGTACCCTGGTAGTGCTTTTCTTATAAAGCTCTCCCTCGTGGACCTTGTAAGCTTTAGAGCGCCGCACGATGCAGCGTGCCTCATTTTGGTCCTCGGGGAGTTCGTGCCTATTAAGGTAGGCCAAAAAGGGTTTGGTCCATGGGGTGATAACAACCATAATGAGATGGGCTGAAGGTGTTATTTCGGTGGCAGAGCCCCCGAT